GTGGGCACCGAGTCCGAGCGAGTCACTGAGTCGAAAATCGGGCACTCCGAGTCGTCCTCGAATCTAGAGGGGACTGTATCCATGTATCTGAACATGTGCCACATTTAAAAAGCAGGGGAAACGCTGAGAAGGAGGGATTAAAAAACTGGGAGCAAAGATTAGGCCAGAATAAGACCTGGAGAGGGAAAATATAATATTGTAAGGGGAGACTTTACACAACATCTTAAGTATTGATACAAAAATAAATAAAAGAGAATGAGAAAAGTAGTGGAGAGAAGTAAATTCAGTCTCGTGCTTAAATAAAAGTGTAAAATAATCTGTTAAACCTCAATCTGCAGTGGTTTAATGTCATTAGTCTAGATGGGGGGGGGATAATTTGACAGTAGATTTTTCATACTTTCCAATATTTTACCACTTTTTATAGTCTTTCATTAACCCAATCCATCCGATATGATATATAGAATAAGCTGATCTTGTACAATGGTTGACTAATGAATTGATTAAAACATTATATTATTATGCTTGTGTTTACACAACCCTCTAATTTGCACAACATAGCACTTTAAAGAGAAAACCAACACCAACAATTTCCCCTTCAATTAGAAAAATAATGATTTCTTGAGTATAAATACAACCGTTTGTGCTAAATGTAGAAAACCTCTGGTAACCCCAAAAACAAAAATAACCGTCTGGGAAATAAAGAACTTCATCTTTTTAAAATGCCAATACAATTTACCAACCATAAATACTCTGCACCCCTTCAATGTAGGTTTACGAAATACATTACAATTATACTGACCACACTCTAACCTAATACAATATATGTAGAAAACCAAAAACCCAGGATTAGGAAACAATAATTCAAATAAATCCCTGTCAGGTTTTATTTCGTCACATAAATCAAAAACAGTGGAATAAGATCAAAGAGGAGAGGGAGACAGATAAAATTAACCACAGGATAACGCGGGCATGAGAAGAATAACATAAAAGAATAGAATACACGGGCTGAATGTTAAGCAGAGGTCAGACGGACGGTGGCCAGGGAGATGTGGGTATTAGACCATTTGAGATCGGTGAAGAGAAGAGTCGTCGGTGCAGTCGAACACAGGAGGACGGCTTTACACTGTGTCCTCCCCACTGACGCATTCAAACAGGATAACACAGACACACACACAAGAACACCGGCTGCTTTTAATGGCTGGCACGGGTTAATGACCCCCTAAAAACACACACACAACACATATCACAATGAGAAGGGGTGCAGCCATGTCTATAATGTGAGTGCACTACGTGTATTAAAATCACACCGTGGCAAGCATGCAGCTCTCTGATAACGCTGCAATCAGAAAAGAAAAAGAGATAATAGTTACAAAGAAAGATGAGTGAAGGAGAAAGAGTAATCATCAGTGGAGGAAGAAGCACTCAGAATGTCACTACTTAGAAGCCAAAAGTAGCAATACCAGATTAGTAAAATACATAAATCTTACTGAGAAAGAGACCCCTTTTAATGCCCCTTTAGGGGTTTCCGTTTCCCTGTGGTGTGTTTATTCAGGTTCATAAACTCTTTCACCCAACTGAACTTCTTCCAGGACTTGTTCAATTTTTTTACTCGACCAAGGAAAGTACTCTTCTCCGAGCGCCATGATGGTTTATTTGAATGGACAGGAAAAATACCAGGTCTGCTATAAACGTGTGCTATCTACACACAACACAAATCAACTAGGCTTCCCTCAGTTACACACGTAAAGCAACATCAACTCGACTACAACACACATATACTCGTTTTTTACTTCCCATTTTTCATGGATGAACTCAAATTAAAACATTTTTCTACATCCAAACATAACCATTTCTCTCAAATATTGTTCACAAACTCTAGAAAAATCTGTGATAGTGAGCACTTTCCTTTGCCGAGATAACCATCCCACCTCACAGTGTGGCATATCAAGATGCTGATTAGACAGCTAATTATTGCAAGGTGGCCTTAGGCTGGCCACATAAAGGCCACATCTGAAAGTGCAGTTTGCTTTATTGGGGGCTCTGGGGGGAGGGTATTCGAACCATTCATATCTGGTGTGGAGGTAGGGTTAGGGGTTAGGGTATGTTGTGGAATCGATGGGCTCTGTGTTCGTCAGTCCATAACATAACGCCTCCCATTACCAATTTACCCCACCCACCCCCAATGGGGCCACTCCATTCACAACATTACCTAACCCTACCCTACCCTAATCCTAACCCTCACACCCAGATACTGTGGATTTTCGGACCCCCCCAGACCGCCCCCAATAAAGCACTGCAGCGTTCAGAGTGGCTTTATTGTGCAGCCTAAGGCACACACTGTGAATGATCATGCTGTCCTAATCGCATCATGATATGCCACACTGGAGTGGGATGGATTATCTGGGCAAAAGGAAGTGCTCACTATCACAGAAATTTTTCAGATTTGTGAACAATATTTGAGAGAAATGGTTATTTTGTGTATGTAGAAAATGTTTAGATCTTTGAGTTCATCTCCATGAAAATGGGAGCAAAAAACAAAGTGTTGCGTTTTAACTTTGTTCCAGTCTAAAATCTCTAACCAGCAATACCTCGTCGTTAATGCTTTTCGTTATTCATTCACGGTTTTTCTTTGTATTACTATATCAGGCGATTAGATAGCAATATAAATTATATTTGATGCCAACTTTAGTTACATTTCCATGACTTCCTTTCAAAACTTTGGAAAAATATGTTTTCCAAAACTTCTCCAGGGCTTGGAATTAGCATTTGGAATTTCCATGACTTTTCCAGGTTTTAAATGCCCGTAAGAACCCTGTATATACGGTGTTAGTGTGTAAATGGTCTGCAAAGGCTACCTACTTCAAGTACCTTGCCACCACGATACCCATTATAAATACCCAAAGAGACACACATTGATGAGTGGAAACGCAGCGGGTGGATCAACAGGGACTAAAGTTCGATACTATCAATGAAACTCAGATCGATCACGTAATTGGCTGCATATTGTTGACAAATTGGCGTCTGATAGTATATTTGTTACAATCTGCCTCCTCTCCATCAGTGCTGAGTGTTGATGAGTGGAGCATCAGGACGATGAAGCTGAGAGATAAAGAAGTTGATATTCAGGAGTTTTCAAATAAATGAGCTAAAAAGAGGCGCGTGCTGTGTGTTTTCACTGAAAGGCTAATGAAAAGAAGACGGAATCGGAGGCTCAGGCTCAATAGCAGTAATAAGCTGTCAGAAAATGGCGGCTGTTTGGGTTTTATTGGCAATCTACCCTATTGAGTCCCAGAGAGTCAGATATTCCTTTGTTTTGAACCGCGCTAAATTGTTTCATCGTCGAGTTAATCAAGTGTTCTGTGAAAAGACACCAAAGAAGAGTTGGAACAAACCACAGAGAGAATCCTGTCTGATGAAACTGTCTTCCCGTCCAACAGTGGTGCTCAAAGGATGGAAATGTGTGGAGGTCATGAAGAGAAAAGGAAGAATCCACACCATGTGCTTAATGTAGTTCCCTTTCCACCAAACGCGACCTTTTGCTCAACTTGGTCTTTTTGGCCCATAATTAAAAAAGACAAATGTTATAACTGTGGGTGGATCTGGAGAGGAAGAAGGGAAGCACTAACGCCCAGGAAGTTGTTTCAACCGAAATTGGCTTGAGGGCTCCAAATTTGGTGTCCTGGGCCAGGGAACAGGGAAGGTAATCCAATATTCCTTACATTTTATTCAACTATTGGGCCTTAAAACCCACCTTCCATTATAATCAAGTTAACTTCATTTTTCTTAAATTATTTTGTAGTGGGGACAACCTACAACTTCAAGAAGAGGTCATTCCTACGTTATTAGAAAAATCCCTTAAAAACAGAAAAATAGTAATGGTAAACCTTCCGTGAATATAGCATGACTTAGTTCCAAACAACCATCCCCTTAAGTTAGGGATGCCATCCCATTGCCTTCCACGTTGCTTACAGGGTACAGTCTGGAAATCATTGAACAGTGAAACGGACGGCTAAAAATTAAAAACTGTTCCTCCCAAAGGTTCTCGGACATTTTCCTCAGTCAAAAAACATTGTGTTTGCTCAAAATAAGTTTCCCTATTTGCGAATTCCTGGGGCAACTATTTTTTAACCACACCGGTCTGTGCCTGTTTTTATTTTATATATCTGTCATCCGATTTAACAAAATTCCAGACCGGTAAACGTGCCCTAAGAAATTCTAAAAATGTCATCAAAAAGAGTCTAACAGAAGTCTATGGCACATAAATCGGTTTAACTAGTATTGCATATTTCCATCTTGAAACCACAATTTTACTACAAAGGGTTTAACAATTCAAACAACTTAACTGCTAAATACGTAGTTAAGACTTAATGTGACTTCTTCCCATGGCATTCTTAGACAAAGCTGACTTGTGCAGTGAAAAGGTGACACTCTGCAGAAACAGATATTAAAATGCAAGTTATACAAACAACGCCAAAGTGCTCTCTGGTTGGTAAATGATTGACCCCTTCTGGCATCGGACTTAAATACTTGAATGCACGCATAAAGTAGACAATCTCCTGGCTTAAAATTGCATTACAAAGCAATAACTGAGGAAATAAACCAAGAAAACAAGATGTTTACTTTGACTGATTAACTGTGCAACAGGAGGTGTGTTTAAATAAATCCAGTAAAATTCAATACAACTTGTGTGCTTGCCCCATGGGAAAGCACACAAGTTAAAATAAAATACAAATAAATACAAATCTGGCAAGACAACACAGACAATCTCTCATCTTGTTCGAATGCCACAACCACCCCCCACCTTCCCTCTGCTTACCTGGAGCATTTCCAACAAAAAGGCCGAAACAACAAATCCAAATAAAGCCAATCTTAATAGACCTGGAGACTGAGTCATGGAAGGTGGAAAACAACTCATCAATCCTATGGTATGCTTCTTCAAAGTGTCAATAGTAATTCAATGGGTTACACCACATTGAAGGGGAAACAACCAATATAAAGGAGTATCACTACTGTAGTTAACATGTCCAATGGTTTAACACACCAATGTGTCTTAAAAACCATCAACATATTAAAAGAGTTTGCCAAAGGACATTGTATCTTTGACCCCATAATGTCCTGAATTTCCTATAGTGGTGTTTTATAGGTTTGTGGGTCTGTAAAGGCTAAACATCCCTGATTCTTCCCACACTCTCGTGACATCATTACTACTTCTATTGGCTAGTGCTCCAACACATTGTACGTGATAGGCTAAGGGGCGGGACATCCTAAGCGGTTGACCAATCACAACAGAGTCGGCCAGCTAACCAATCAGAGCAGACTGGGCTCTGGTTTCAGACAGAGGGTGTTTCTCAATCTCGAGGACGCTTGCTTGGTAGCACATGTCTTCCAAGCCACTTGCTTCAGAAGCGAGGCAAGAATACTTCCTGGCATTCGGAAAGCGAAGAGTGGAACAGGCGAGCACGTGTGCGTCATATGAGAGGCCCCGCTTTACATTTTCCGCCACAGATTTGGGGAAATTGATCCGTGCGCAAAGCATTGTGGGGATTTTAAGACCGCGGAGTCTACACATGTGAAGCCTCGAAATTTCTCGCTACGAAGTACGCCGGGCTCGGTAGGATTCCAAGTATGCTGGACATTGGAACAGTCCTTCGGCGGGACTCGATGACGTAGTATGCTTGAAATAGTGGCTCTGGAGCAGCTATACTCGACATTGAGAAACACCCAGTGAGTTGATTCTCGCTAAGTAGCCAAAAAGGTTAAGCCAACTAGCTTGCCAAATAGTGAGCCTGTGTTTGTTACGATTATTGTGTTACGTCACGTTTTGTATGTCTTGTTTTGGGTGTTTTGCTGTTCTCCCTGTCATGTTTTCCTCTTGGTTTCTTGTCTGGTCCCTCTCCCTGTGTTTTTCCTCCCTGTCGTTAGTTTCCCTGGTGTGTCTAATTGTCTGATTGTGTTCACCTGTTGCCCTTGTGTTTCTCCTCCCCTGCCCGGCTGTTTCTCGTCTCGTGATTACCCCTCCCTGTATTTAGTCTTGTCTCTTCCTGTGTTCAGTGTTGGTTCGTCTTTTGTTTGTGACTGAGTTCACCGGTGAGTGTTCTGTTTTGTCCAAGTTATTATTTTATCCTTGAAATAAAGGCAATATCAGTGTAATCTGCATTTAGGTCCTGCTTGCTTCACCCACCGTAACAGTGTTGATGTAGGCACCTATGTTAGAACTGGTTTATAAATGGTCCTTAATGATTAAGGATGAAAAGAGGTGCTGCAACACATGAGAGTATGGGAGAAATAAAGAGCTTTTTGAACATGAAAGCATGGAGACAAAACATGTAGACAAAATACAAATATGAACCTGAAAATAAGCGTATCTTTAATCTAACCCTGCAACATTACAATCCAAAATCCAACTATGTACGTCACGTCTACATGAAGAGATATCTAAGGAAGCAATTTGGCAAAGTGACAGATTTTGAAATGCTCCCGCTCATCCTCAGCTATAATCTGTTTCTATGGCAGGCTCTCGTCCTCTTTACTTATCTCTGCTTTCTCCTGCAGCAGGTTTGCAAGCGCCCCATATTCCCTGTCATACGACTAAACGTGGTTACTGGTAGGAGCGTTAAGGCAGGGAGAGGAAGTGGTGGGCTGCTCTTCAGGGTCCTGATGACGGGGCTGTGGAGGAAGACAGCGGGGGTGCCAATTAAGCTGCAGCATAATTAAAGTGTGTGCTGAGCTGTTTACACACTGCTGGCAGCAGAGTGGGAGGACTGCATGGAGACAGAAGGGAGACGCATATGCTGCTTTCACGTCATACGAGAGAAAACTGCCAGAACACACGTTCATCTGAAGCTATAAAGAGGTCATTACCGGGGTTTCCTGTTCAATGTGCTTTATTATTTCAAGACAGTATCGTTCTGTCAACTCGTGTCTAGTCTAACGTTTCTGCTTCACCAGAGATGTGCAAAACATGTCTTTGTAGTGATGTTCACAACTTGAGACAATTCGATTATTGGATTTAATCTTAGATCTGTAAAATGAAGTTTCTCCAAAAAGAAATCATGGAAAAGCACCAAATTCTCAAATGAATGAAGCATTAAAAATACTCAAAAGCCCTATTCCTTTGTGCAATTTACAACATTTGATTTAAATTGCCTTACATTTTTTATTTAAAACCTAATATAGAGGATTCACCTATAATAGTAAAATAGGTAAATACTTGTGTATGCTGCCCTCGCTCTTTTGCATATCATGTATTTAGTTTTTGCTATGTTTGTAAAATGTAAACTTCTTAAATGTTTGATGTGAGGGACTGCGGATGGAAATGAGCTCAAAGCTAAATCTGGCACTGTTACGCTTGACACATTTGAATGTTTGAAGTGTTCATTACTGTGCATTGTCCCTGCCAAAGAAACGGAAATAAGTAAAAATAGTCAACAGTATTGGGGTATTCGAAGAAAATAATGATAATATTTGATCAATGCTATCAAAACAGACCATTTGGCACATGCTCCCATTTCTACTGATAAGACACAGAAAGGAAAATAACTGTTATTTTCATCAATAAATAGAAATGCGTCATCAGCAGCAGCGGAGGGCGTGATTCGCAAGTTGAACACTGAATTTGAGTCACAAATACTGGATAGAAAGGCAGGAAGGAAGACTTTAAATTCAGCAGAGAACTTGGCAGGTCAGAGGTCATCACACAAGGCATGTTTCATTTGTTTGAGACCACATGCTTCCTCAAAAGCAGGAAAAACCCAGAGAGTATTAGTAGAGTTGAAGTGAGGTTATTTAGCTTTTTTCTTCTCCGGCTCTTACTGTTTAATCTCCTTGACCTTTGCCCTTTCGGCCGCAGCGTGAGCCTTGTCATATGTCTTCCTGCGAGAGAGCGGCGACGGCTCCGGCGCTCGCCTCTCCACTGACGAAGATCTGGAGCCGTTACTGCTCGTTTCATAAAGTTACCCACAGACAACACAAAGACAGTACACAAAAGAATAATGATAAAACAACAGGATGATATGAAACAAAGTCAACATAATGATGAAGGGATGCGGAACACACAGAAACACACGTTACCTGAAGTCCCAAAACTCTGGTGGTTCTTCGCCAAGCTCTTAATTGTACGCTGTGATATTTTTACTTTATTTGCTGACAGATCCCTGTTAGCCAAGGCTTCTTTTTTTCAAACAAAGTCAATGTGCACTTAGTGTGAAGCAAGTAAAAGCAGTCCGGTTAGTTGTTTTGCTTTGAATTTAAAAAGGCAGATTTAGCAGGGGACAGTAATAAATTATCTAAATAAAAGTTGAAGGCCTGGCCATCTGATGTAAGGATGCTCATGAATAATGTGAAACAAAAATTAGCTAAAGCAGAGCAGCAACATCAAACATGCATGAAGGAGGGAGGGAGGAAGGAAGGGAGGTAGGAAGGAAGGAAGGAAGGAAGGAAGGAAGGGAGGAAAGAAGGAAGGAAGGGAGGGAGGAAGGAAGGAGGGAGGAAGGAAGGAAGGAAGGAAGGAAGGGAGGGAGGAATAAAGGAAGGAATGAAGGGAGGAAGAAAGGAAGGAAGGAAGGAAGGAAGGAAGGGAGGGAGGAAGGAAGGAAGGGAGGGAGGAAGGAAGTAAGGAAGGGAGGGAGGGAGGAAGTGGTGATTATTGTGTTAGAGACAGAGTGCCGGGCCTGGACTTACATGCTGCCCATTTTAGAGGAAAAGCCTGGGGAGAGAGCGCTGTAGTCCCTGACTGATGAGCCGGACGTCTCCATGTCCCCCCCCCCATCTGGAGTTTCTGCCAACGGCAGCATCGGGGCGGAGAAGTCTGAGGGGGGGGCGTCGGGGGCGGAGTCACTGTTAGCGTACAGCAGCTCCATCTGGGTGGTGGTCCTCCTGCGAGCCTGAGGAGCCCAGAGGAGAGGACATGAAGACAGGAAGTAGGGAGAGCTGATGCGTGCAGAAGATCAGGATCAAAGTGTTACCTTGCCGCGTGTTTTAGTCTCTCCACAGAGTTTCATGAGGTCGGATGACATGGTGCTGAAAGGAGGAGGGTTTTTCATGAGGTTGAATAAACATATGGCGTTTTGTAAAACACACAAAGCACATTGTTTTATATAATATCCGATTAAATAACCCATATTTGGATTTCTTTTCATTAAAGCAGGGCATTACACAAGTTTGATATGAAATATAATATCAAAAAAGGGACAAAAATATTACATTTATAAAATGAATGGTACCGTAGAAGATATACACCCACTGGTTGATATATTACAGTAGACTAATATACTCTAACATAGAAATGAACAACTAATCACTTAAAATAAGCAAAACATAAAATACGATTTTTAAAAATAATGTTACGTGACATCAAATAAGATTTATAAAATTAAGGAAAACAAAATTAAACATAAATATATTTAAAAAAAATGTTGTAACATAACATCAAAAAAGGTAAAACATTATGATTTACACAATAAAATAACATTTACATGAAAACGACATAACATGAGATTAACATAAACACAAAACAAGACATAATTGCATACACAGTATATACTGTATGCATATCAACATAAAATAATGGTGCTAAGTATTATATAAAAATATTGTATGACATAAATAAATGAACTCACTTCCCGTCAGCAGACGGGCTCTGTGCCGACTCATCGCTGCTGCTATCGTCCCCGTTGTCTGTCAAAAACAGGTTCATAAATAATATTAAAGTTGAGAGGAAACGCTCTTTGCTGATGAAATGACTTTCTAAAACTGCTCTTAGCTAAAAACACTTTGCCCACATTATTATTGCTAACTTTCAGGGAGAGGCTCTGTTTTCTTTAAAGATAGCTGCTTTTAATGGGTGTAGAAAAGGTGATCAAGGGAAGCAGATGAGGGCGATGTCAGCGGGGCGCCATGCTGTTTAATCGAGACTCGGTCCTCACTGAGCTCAATGGGGTCAGATGGGTGGAAGAGGTCAGAGGTCAGCAAGGTGTGGGAGGTTATACAGAGACAGGTAGATACGAGACAACAGGGTGGAGGAGTGAGAGAGTCGTTAGTCCGACGCTCCTGATGGGGTCAGCTGACCTACAGGGTGTGACGGAGCACATCCATGTTGAAGGCTTCCTGTGGGGGGGGGGTCCTGGGTTAGCAGGGGGCTAAAGCATGGAGGCTCTGGAGGAGGAAGAGGAGGAAGCCCAATTCCAAAACAGCCCTTACACCCTCCCCCTTAAAAACGTTCTTGTAGCGGGTCCCCTACAATGAGTGCTGTTCCAAACCAATCGACAATCAGTCACTCATTTGTATGGACGGACACGTGTAAAGGTAAACATCACAGATAAGGCTTATCAGCAGACTGCTGGTGTTTACCCAGAGACAATAGTGAATTATGTCCTTAGAGACACGAACAAAACAAAAAATGCTACTAAAGGTTTTTTCTTGTTAATTAACGTTATTTCTATTATTTTTCGTCAAAGAGGGGATGATTCACAGCATTATGGAAATGTTAAAAGTTGAATGAACTGTATTTCTATCGCACTTTATCCAGTCTTTACGACCCCTCAAAGCGATTCACATTGTCCAACGCATCATTCACACAGAGCAATGTGCCGCCTGCTCAAAGAAGCTTACACACACTCACACACCGTTCATACCATATGATCAACGCCATCGGGAGCAACTTGGGGTTAGCTATCTTGCACAGGGATACATCGACATCTTGACTGCAGGGGATGGGATTGAACCCACACAGAACCGCCGATTAAAGGACGACAGTTCCCGTTTATGCTGGAAAAAGGGGAGTTCCTGCAGAAGCTTGTTGGTGTATTATTTGCACTCAACACCATAAAGAAGTAGCCTCATTTAGCTGAGAGTCTTGACTACAGATGGAGATCACTAAGTGGGATGAAGAGGGAGTGTGTAGGGGTCAGTTTGGAATTGGGCCGCAGTGTATTCAGAGGGGAAGGGGAAGGTGGAGGTCAGCGGACAGATGGAGGGAAGCGTTGGTTGCATTGCACCTCATGCACCTGTTCCATGTTACGTTCAGTTAGTTTTGTGCAAAGGGAAAAGGAACCATGCATTCATAAACACAGAGGAATCTAATGTGGGTCACTTACCAGCCGGGATGTTACCTAGCTCTGTGAAAACATAAGGAAACAAAACAAGAAAAAGAAAAAAGGAAAACGTGGGGAACAGAAACAAAGGCGATGCACAAATCAAAAACACTGTCCCCCATAATTCTCTAAAAACAAAACAAAATAAAGTGCAGCTACTGTAAACAAAGCATCCAACTGAACAGAAGCTGGGAAACATCTTCTTTTTGTCTAAGAGTTTCAATAAAATGTACCCAAATGATAACACTTTTTTTTTATAGCAATGTGATTTTTTTAGAGGGATTATGTGCCAGTTGTATAATACATAGGCCAGCTTCTATTCAGCAGAAGGCAACAGGCAGAGCATGTCAAAAGACCCATCATGCATCTGACCAGTAACCCAGTCCACTTCCTGGAAGCCCAAAATCTTTATAACAATGCAACAGATGCACGTTTAGTGGCTGATTTACATGGAAAAGGAAAACCATAATAATCTATAAATAACTTCTGACACATCTGATACTTCCAGGAGGTGGGCGGGGTTAAACCAGAGTCTGGTCCGTGTTTTGGGTCCACGTTTTCACTCCAATCTGAACCCTGACACATGCAGCGGTTACCTTGCAGGGCATTCCCCAGCAGGGCGTCCAGCTCCGGGTTGAACTCGGCCTTCTCCTTCAGCATGTGGAAGAGCAGCTGGTTCTGGGTGGCGCTGGTGATCTCCGTCTGCTTCAGCCGGCCCTCCATCACCTTCACCTGGGACTCCCTCTGAGACGCCTGCAGGCCCTGAGGAGGTCAGGCACAAACACATGGTGTCATGTTTGCTGTTTATATAACAGTTAACACTTTCATCTCTGCGATTTTGAATAAATGGAAATGGACAAGTGCATGTTCACGCTAAGACAGTCAAATTAAGCCTAGTTAACGTTGGCAGCTGTTATACAGTGCATGGGAAACAGTGTGGGGCTTTGGTGCCTCCTCGAGTGTGAGGTTTTGTCATGTTTACATTAAAATGACAACATGATGATGATAATGTGGCAGATTTAGCCAAAATGTCAAATATTTTCCTACAGAGGAAACGTTAGAATGTAAATTGCCAGGTTTGGGCGAAAAAATAAATAATCAGGAAATGTTTCTTTGTATTCAAGTTTGTTTTGAAGCAGCCGTAAGGACACATGATGATATACGGATGTTATTATTCCTCATTAAACTCTTATTAATACTTGCTGGTACCTTGCTGATTGCCATCGTCATGAAGTGATCCAACAGAAACCGAGTTTCATTCAGAGTACAGGAGCCGATCACTGCGGAGATATCCACTGTGTCGCCCTCCTCCTGAAAACAGTCACTCAATTAGGAAACAGCATTAATTAACAAAAAAAAGAAAAAAGAAAAAGACTTTTGTTTGTTTAAAATAAGAACATTATTCATAACGTCAAAGTTTGGCCCGTTATAAACTCTACTCAAACTAAGCTGTTCAAGTGTTTAAAGCTAGTATGAAGGAAATGGCATTAATATCAAGTAAACACACTTTTAGGCGTTGGGGGCCTTTCTCACCTTGGCTTCCTCCATCTGCATGATGTTGGCCTGGCAGTCTGCGATGCTGTCGTTGATGTAGTCGATGTTGGCCGTCAGTGCGTCCACCTCCTCGTTGATGGGCAGCACCGCCTTCTCCACCTCCGGACCCTCCCTCGACAGACGCTCCCTCTTCCGGATCACCTTCTCCTTACGCTTGGTTAGCTCCTCTCGTTGCTATGAACACACAAAATACAAAAACGGATTTCAGTCGAAGGAGTCATTTTTAGATCAGAATTAGAATCAAGTTTATTGCCAGGTAAGTTTACACATACAAGGAATTTGCTTTGGAACCTGGTGGTACATAAACAATCTAAAAAAAAGTATAAAAAATAAGGATAGTGAAAAATAAGATGGGAACATGGTTATTGTTGCAGATTCAAGAATCAAAGGCTTTGTGAGAAAATGCAATTACAGCGTAGTTGTTGGAAAATAAAATCTTAAGTCCCAGGCTTCTCCTTAAAGGTGTGTCAACACATAAATCACAACAACACATAAAATAGTGCAATAAAAGCATGTAAATAAATAGGAGCAAGCAGTGGTCTTTCTGTTTATCAAAAAAAAAGATTATACGCCAGGTTTTGTGAAACAAGATGATGTAGCAGGAGTTAAAGACCTCACGATTTGACATATTTAAAAATGACATAAAACAACCCCTAGAAAATCTGCCGAAAAGACAAGTCTCTCACAGACATCTTCCGAACACTTCTAAAACCTCTCTAATTCCAGATTATGTTTTTACAGGGTATATGCAGGAATCCTGAAGTTACATTTAAGACCTTTTTTAAGACCCTTTCCATACATTTTAAGACCTCATCGCCACTTGGAATTCTAACCGGTTACATTGGCGACACACTTTACCTCACATTGAC